AAAAAGTATCTTTGTTCGTTGAATAGTCTGTTGTTGACGAACTTAATCGCGGTGGTGGGATCCAACGCAAAAAGCATACAGATATCTTTCGCTACATCAATCACCCTCCTCTCTTTCTTCGTCCCAATGTTATAAACATGGCCAATCTCCCCTCTATGAAGAATAACCTCAAAAGCTTCAGCAACGTCCTCGCAATAGAGGTAACTTCGAACGTTAGAACCGTCTCCATGAATCGGAAGGGTTTGTCCTCTCATTGCTAGAAGGATGAACTTTGGAATCAGCTTTTCGGGGAATTGATTTGGTCCGTAAACATTGTTACCGCGGGTGGTTATGACGGGTAGGCCATAGGACCTTCCGTAAGCCATCACGAGCATTTCAGCTCCGGCTTTGGTGGTGGAATACGGGTTCGTAGGGGGGGGCTGAGAGCATTCTCATCGGTCTCCCCATAAACTTCATCTGTGCTGACATGGATGAATCTCCTTATTTGACCGGAGACCTTGCAGGCCTCAAGCAGAACATGAGTTCCATAGATGTTGTCCTTAGTGAACTCAATGGAGTTGCCGAAAGAATTGTCAACGCGAGTCTGAGCTGCGAAGTGCATTATTGTGTCAATGGACTTCGTGACGAGAAGGTACTGGAGAAGATCAGCATTGGCGATGTCGCCCTCAACGAACTTCAAGTTTGGGGAGGATCCAGAAGGGGAAAGGTTTTTAAGGTTGGAGCAGTAGTCGAGTTTGTCGAGAACCATAATTTTCTAATCGGGGTAGTCGCGGATGAGCCTGTTGGCAACATGCGATGCAATGAAACCAGCTGCCCCAGAGATGAGGATGCTTTTAGGCTTATAAGATTCCATTTCTTTCTGGTTTCTGCAATATATCTAAGGCTTTGAAGCTGAGAGTGCGGAACCAAACCCCTGCAAAGAACTTTTAGATTTAGAGAAATGATGGGGCTTAGTGGATATTCCTACTATAGATGGTAAATGGTGCCCATAACGTTGTGGTGCTATCCATTTCCTTCTTTTTCATTTCGGAGTTTCAGGAAATAACTGTTGAGCAACATGGAGTTTTAATGGCAGACTAGGATTGTGAATATGAATATGAAAGCTTCGGTTTCATACATGTAAATAAATGAGAATTGTGTGGTATGATTATTATAGATTCTTATCGGAATTTTGCCTCCTCTCCTAATTAATACTGTTGCTATCATCTTGAGGAAGATTTCTGTTATGTTTGGCTAACAGTTTTCTTCAGCCATTTCATCTGTTGGTTATGGGAAGGAGTCATTGTTGATTGGAAGCTATATATCATCTTTTCTTTTAATGCCTTAATAAAGATGGTTGATTCATTTCTCGTGGATGTAGGTCAGTCTGACCGAACCACGTAAATTGCTTTGTCCTTATTTTGTTATTTAAATTGTTTCTTTTAGTTAATCTGTTGCAATAATCATAATTGTTTTGTTTTGTTGTTATATATTTTTTATTGTGCCACTTTTAATGCTAATAGTGAATAACAATTACACGAGGCATATATTTCATATATTTACATATTTAACACTTCAAATTTTAACATATATTAATCAATTATATATAAATATACATGTCTAATACTTAAATTTATTTCATAACAATAATTAATTTCATATCAAAATTGATCTAATCCAAGTGTCAAGCTCATATCAAGCCATTAAATCACTTTTGGAAGCTTTTGAGCATATTTAGGAGGCTAAATGAATGTTGAATTTGTCGAGCTTATAGTCGAATCGAGTATCTCGACAAGATGAATCCAACAAGATTAATATCGCTCGATTCTGACGTCGTTAAGGAACTCAAATGTCCATCAACCGCCGTCTGATCGAAATGGTTCATATTTTTGCATTAATTGCACCCAGAACTCTATAAATAAAACCCCACCTCTCTCATGAGGAGGAAAAGACTGCAGTTATTTAAAGATGTTGTAGTCAAATCGAGTGTCATGACAATATGAGTCCAACGAGCCCAAGATTCTCAATTCTAATATCATTAAGACACTCAACTGTTACATGAAATGTTGTCCAATCGAGGGAAGCCCTCTGAGTCGTCAAATAAAAAGGCAAACATTTAATGTGATGCAAAAGATTTGGGTAGTATAAATGTAAAATGAAAAATTTTGGAGGAGTTAGATATGTAAGATATGTAAACTCATAATAATTGACTCATAATAATTGACTGATATGTATGTAAATGCCCCCAAATAAAAAGGCAAACATTTGAGACAGACAAACAAGTATAATGAAGAAGTTAAGGAGAGAAACTCAGTCTGCTATAAATGATGGAAATCGCAAAAAATCTGCTATTAGGATGATTGAATGATTTTGGCTTTTATTGCAGAGTATTTCCTATTTTCATGTATTTGAACGTGCATAATAAATTCCAACCAAATATTTCTTAAAACATAAACAAATACTCTAGTTATTAAAGTCATCATCTTTGAGGTCATACTGATTAAAACATGGGCTAACTACCAAATTCATTCTAAAAATAAATATTTCCTTACATTTCAAAAGAAAAAAGATTATCCCCTCCATAGCACGCAACACAATGCATCAATTCCCCTGCTTCCTGTTGGGCTCAAACACATATTTTATGAGAGATTCTTTAATCGACAGCAGCTCCGAAAACTCGCTCTTCAATTTCGAAGCATCCAATTCGTTATTGCTGCGAGGCGCGACGATCACCTTCGCCTGTTCTTCGAGTGTAAAGTTGACCCAACTGAAGCCAGGATCAATATAAGCCTTGTACAACTCCAGGATCTCATTGTGGCTCACAACACCTGGGTTGGTGAAATTCCATATTCCCCTGCAGTTTCTCTTAGCCATCTCGATCGAGATTGGAAGCAACTCATCCAATACAGTCATGCTGTTTGGGATATTAACCACCTTGTTGTACCGACAGATCTTCGTGATGAAGTTACGAGGATTGTTTAGATCAGATGATATTGGCATTCGGACTCTTAAAGTACAGACGTTGTCGTGCTCCTTCAGAAGCTCCTCAACCTGTATCGATATGAAATAGAAGAGATTACTATAAATTTCAGTAATAACTGCCTTTATGTTATATATATCACACATTTCTATGACTGATTCAGCTCATTCAAAGACTGGGAGCTAATTTGACA